TATGGGGCACAGGTTATCTTTATGTCCTTTGCCCATTTGGAGAGAGCTTTCCACATAACTCTTTCCCCAAATATCTTTCTCCCCGGTTTTCTAATCATGCTCCTTCAAGTTTCTGACCAACTGGCCAAACCATTGGCTATAGCCCTTGAATCGGTACATAGTCACACATCTGGTTATTTCTCCTTCCAAGCAAAATGTGTGACCATGTACATTTCCCAAAATTCCACTCACTGTGAAGATTTCCCTTCACCAATGTCATTCAGGGTTGTCCCACTGACTGCTTCAGCTGTCCACTTCTGGGTAGTGCCTGCATAGCATGCAGAACCATCAGGAAACCAAGCCTTAGGCTTCTCTTCCTCAATCAGCTGATCATATGGTTACCCCAGGAGGCCATAGGTGCATGCTTGAGATCAGAAGGTATCGTTCCAGGAGTAAGAACCATAGGCATTTGGGCAACTTCATGTTACTTTCTTGTGCCCTTACTTTAACTGCAGACAAGCTTTGGGGCTGAGACTTAAATTTGCAGTTGTAAGTCAGCCAATCAGCTAATGAGGCCTGGGGTTGCAACTTGAGCTCTGGCTGCTAGAGAAAAGAGTCTCTTCCAAGGCACACTTAGAAACTATCAGATGTTTATAGAGTCTGGAACCAGTTAATTTTATAACTGAACTTATTCTTGTAGTTCCTTCGTTACTTTATCTGGAAATGCTAGAAGCAAGCAGCCAGCATCTTTATTGCCCTTATTTTTCCTCAAATAGTCAAGAGTTTTATGTATAGTCACTATATTCCTTGCTCTTCACAAGAAGTGTATCAGGAGTATCGGGTGCATTTGTCTTGGTAAGCTCTTTAAATAGTTCACACTGGACTTTCTGTGCCCTGTGCTACCAGGGGAGTGTTTAGTAACTAGGTTTTGTTGAATAGAAGAATCAACACCAGAGACCACTAGAGAAATTCATCCTTACAATTAATTCTTTTTTCTCTTAACACTGCTCCTGGCACCATAATCTGCATTAGTCGGGGTTCTCTAAAGGAACTGAACTAATAGAATGAGCATATAAATATTGAAAGGAGATTTATAAAATTGGCTTTCAGCATATGATTCATATGCTGTCTCATGATGGAGAGGTGGAGTATTTGGGAGCTGCTCAGCACATAAGGCTGAATGTCTCAGCAGTCCCAATCTGGCACTAAAGACCTGGAAGATTCCAGGATACTCTATATTGGAAGCCCAAAGAATCTGGTTCTAATATCAGTGAAGGAATGCAGCAGCGGCAGCAGTAGGATAGATGAACTTGCCAGAAAGAGTGAAGGCAGGCAGGAAGCAGAGTGTTCTCCTTTTGTGTTCTTTTATCTGGACTGCTGCCAAAAGGTGCCACACACATTTATTTAGAGTCTTCCCACTTCAGATTATCTGATCAATCAGTTCCTCAGGGGGTAGAGAGTTGGCTCAGCAGATAAAAGCACTGGCAGTCCTTATAGAGAACCCCATGTTCAGTTCCTAGCACCCACATGGCAGCTAATAATCATCTGTGACTCCAGTTCCCAAGATTCTGACACCCTCTTCTGACCACAGACATTACATGGGTGCACTTATATACACATAAAATTTTTTTTAAAAGATATTATTTTTTTAATGTGTATGAGTATATTGCCTGCATGTATGTAAGTGCACCCGTGTCATGCAAAGGCTGCAGAGGCCAAAAGAGGGCATTGGATCCCCTGGAACTGGAGTTATAGACAGTAGCTGCCATGTGGGTGCTGGGAATTGAACCTGGGTCTTCTGGAAGAACAGTACGTGTTCTTTACTGCTGAGCCATCTCTCCAGCACCAAAAAAAAAAAAAAAAAAAAAAAAAAATTAAGTTCCTCACAGGAGTGTCCAGTGACTTTTAATATAATTGATTGCAGATCTAGTCAAGTTGATAATCAATTTAGCCATCACAGTTATGTCTTTGGTTTGAGAAAGACAGGGAGGCATGCTTATAGATTCAAGTTCAACTGAGACAAGTTAAGTACACTCAGGTGAGTCAAAGGTGAAAAAGTATAAGGTAATACCTAGGGATAAGGGAAATACCTGGTGATTGTTGTTGGTGATGGCTTTCTTGAAGGCATTCAAATTAATAGTGTTTAGTTGGATGGTGTTATGGTTGAAATATGAAATCCCTCCCACCCCCCACATACTTATGTGTTAGAAAGCTTGGTACCAAGATGGTGGTCCCCAGCTATTTTGGAAGTTTCTGAAAACTTCAGGAGGTGGGACCTGGGATGAAGTATGTCACTGGCCATGCTTGAGAGTATCTTGCCTCTCATTCCTTCCTAATCTTTCTCTTTTGCTTCTTGTGGTACCATGATGTGAGCTGCTCTGTTCCATCATGCCCTCTGAACTATTTACTTTTCTGTTGCTATGATAAAACACCATGAGCAAGGCAACTTATAGAAGGAAGATTTTGGGGTTGCAGTTTCAGAGGTTTTAGAGTCTTTCATGGCTGGGAAGGCATGGCAGGAGGCAGCCAGAGCAGAAAGCTGAATGCTCACATCTGAGCACTTACATTTTCAAGCAGCACAGGAAGACAGCAAGCAAAACTGGAAATGGAACAAAGCTATGAACTCTCCAAGCCCGCCCCCAGTGACCTGCTTCCTACAGCAAGGTCACACTTCTGAAGGTCCATGGCCTTCCCCAAACAGTGCCACCAACTGACTAAGTGTTCAAATAGTTGGAATCTATGAGGGACAGTTCTTATTCAAACCACCACACCCTACTATCATGATAGGAATATATGATCTTTGAAATGTGAGCTAGAATAAATACTTCTGCTTGTAAGTTATTTTAGTTGTTTGATCACAGAAATGAGAGCAGTAACTAAAATTGATGGGAACCTTGCTAGAAAAATAAACACAAGTTTTTATGGTTGTGTAATCCATTAAGATATTTGGACTCCTTTGGCAGAGGAGACCATCAAAATCCAAGTTTTATTTATTTTTCCAATTCTGACTTTTTTTTGACAGGCAAATTGCAGTCACTAACCTACTCTCGTACTCCTCTTGCTTAGGATTGGTAAATTGTTATTTTAAGTTATTAATTGTAAGTTTTTTTAAAATGCACATATATTAAACTCTTGTGGAAGAAACTGAGCATAGTTTTATTCGTCATGCTTCAGATATTTGTCGAAATAATATTTTAATACAGTTTATCTAAACCCATTTCAGGAAAACTAAATGAGGGCTTTGAATATAGCTAGAATGGCTAAAATGTATCCCCCTCCTTTAAGATTGACATCATGGACCATAACCATGATTTCTACTCAAATGATGAAAGTGTTGATCGTAATTACACACTTTCAGATCTGCATGCATGTCCATGTAAAGGGACAAAAATCAGTGTATCTGCGCTCCCATGTTTGTAAGACAATGGAAAACAGTAATGAATACTTAATAAAAAGAAGGAAATTCTAACATTTGAAACAATATGGATGAATCTAGAGGACATGTGTTAAGTGAACTAAGCCAGGCACATGGTCTCATCTGTATGTAGAATTACCAAAGCAAACGTAGGAAGGAGATGTGGGAGGGGAGCGATTGAAGACATGGTGTTCGCAGGACCTGTTTCAGACAGGAGTAAACTATACTCCTCTGTGCACAGTAAGGTAACTAATTCATGTTTATTTCAGTTTTTGAAAGTGGATGTTAAATATTATCACCATGATCAATATATGGCCATATTTATTTAGCAATGTATAGATATTATATATATGTATAACATGTACATTGTATACCGAAAATACATATAATTATTTGTCATTTTTTTTAAATGAAAGAAAATTCTTTTTTTATTTAAAAGATTTGTTTATTTTTATTTTTTTATGTGTATGAGTATTTTGTCTGTATATATGTATGTGCATTACATGTGTGCATGGTGCTAGAGGCTGGAAAACGGCGTCAGATCCCCTGGAACTGGAGTCATGGATGGTTGTTAGCTGCCTCATGGATGCTAAGAACTGAACCAGGGTTCTCTGCAAGCTTTAATTCTTACAGTATATTTTTGGTGAATATAGAATTTGAACTAATAATTATTTTTTGTCTGTGTGGTATATGTGTGTGTGTTGGTGCATGTGTACTGTGAGTGTTCATGTGGAGGCCAGGGTCAATGTGGGTGTCTTCCTCTGTCACTTTTTAAAACAACAACATTGACATATTCAATAACGTTTTTTAGAGCTAAGATGCATCTCTTTCAAAACTGAATGTAAATTTTTAGCTTCACAGTTGAATTATAATAGTTATACAATATTGAACTCAGTATAAACCCTATAAGACATAAAATCGAATGAGGTTTTAACCTTTAAAAAGATCTCCATTTCATTTTAAAATATACTGTTTCATACAGGAAAAACTCGTTTTTAATGCTACTAACACTTAGATGTTGCACATGTATCTCAAGTCTCCATGTATCTGACCATTGGTTACTTTCTGAGATCCTTGGCACCTGAGCATGGATATAAAGTCAGGTAGATTTCAAGGGTAATGTTTTTCATCTCTACTAATTATTGTGAAACAAATATTTCATCTATATACCCATATCCCAAATGGCATCCTCCCATACCACCCCCCCACCAACTGGAGCCTATATACTCTCTCACCCCTGTTACTGTCCACTGTGTTGTCACGCCCCCAGTCATTCCCCAGTGCTTGTCCATCTGCTGAATCTAATCAGCCTATCTAGAGATCCTTGTTTTAGGAAGATCAGCTCTTCCTCATCTAGCAGCAATCAGTTGCCAATATTCCTTTGGCACCTCCTTATTTGCTATGGGAATCTTTTAGTTTTATTCTTGTTTTCCCTAACAAGAGTTAAATAACCTAACAGAAACATGCCAAAATTATAAATAAATGCAGATATTTAAAAGATCTCACAATAGACAAGCTTCCAATATGTAAAGTTTTACTCTTAAAAAGGTAACAATGTGGTAAATAAATATAAAATATGTGATTTTCCCCTTTCAATGTTTTATAGGCTTTAATACGAATAATGACTCTCCTGTTGGGAAAAAGCTGACTGTTCCTTTTGAGAAATGCAATGGTGAGTATGAAGAAGATCTGGAAAGAAACATGTATATTAAGCTACCTTTTATTTAAACCTAGTTCATGCAGTATCTTTCTCCTCTCAAATTCAGAGATGGTTTGCTTGTGTGAATGAGCTGTATAGTACTAGGAACACTGACTTTCTAAAGCAGATGTGTTAGAGCAAATTGCATCCAGCCATTTTAGAAATAGGAATAGTGTTTTGTTTTCTTGTTTAAAGTGTGTAAATTGACTTCTGGTTTTGGAAAGCACTTTTAAAAAAGATTTGTTGACATGAGAAATGTCTCAAGTATCAGCTGTCCTCCTTTTCCATTCCAAGTGCCAGCATCACAGCCAGGTGCTAACTTACCGTTAGCAAGATTTCATCAGAAAGGTGTGGAAAATCACGTGGAGGAAGGTGGCATAATGTAATAGAATGTACAGGTGGACTAATTTGGTTTGCTGGAGCATGCTCAGGGGACGGTTGATTGGGAAGCACATGCTAAATTGCATGTCATATTACTTTCATTGATTTATGCATGTTTATTTATTCATTTGTGTATCTTCAGCTGCTTGTCAGACTTTGCTGTCTCTTCCTGTGGATTTTAATTTGGAAGCTATATTAGGTAAATACTGTATTATTACTTAAACCTTTTGTTTTGTTGACTTTGGGGGGTTTTTTGTTTTGTTTTGTTTTGTTTTGTTTTTTGTTTTTTTTTTTTTAGACAGGGTCTCTGTGTAGCCCCAGCTGGCCTTGAACTCACAGAGATCCACCTGCCTCTGCCTCCCGTGTGCTGGGACTAAATGAGTGCACCACCACACCCAGCTTTGTTGACTTTTTGTCAATGGTAACCTGTAGCAGTGTCCTTAAACAGAAAACTGTCCTGAAGTTTTCTTTTTCTTGAATGTGGCCTGAATTGTGCTTTAATTATAGTGAACTATACTCTGGGCATAAGCTATAAGAATCTTTTTAAGTTTTTATTTATTTAATTGTTTATTTGTTTTTGTCTTTTTGAAGCAGGGTCTTCCTGTAGCCCCAGCTGTCCTGGAACTCACTATGTAGACCAGGCTGGCCTTGAACTCACAGAGATCCTCCTGTATTTTAAGCATTTTACTTTATTTTGCCCACATGCATGTAAGTGCACCCGTCATTCAATGCCCACAGAAGCCAGAAGAGGCATCGGATTCTCTACAAGAACAGCCAGTGCCCTTAACCGCTAAGCCATCCCTCCAGCCCAGCTATAAGAATCTTGCTGGTGCTACAATAATAATAATAATAATAATAATAATAATAATAATAATAATAATGAGCCAGACATGATGGCACATTCCCGTAATCCTAGAACGTGGAAGACTGAGAGGAGGATTGTGACTGATATGAGATTTTAAACATCATATATACACATATTGAAAAAATTCAAATATGGTACATGGTTTTTAAAATCAGGTAATAAAAGTACAATGACTCCTTAAAATGACTAGCTTTCCTTTTATTTGTTTATCGTTAAATATAGGAGACTATTTTAGAACTGATGACTTTGTGGACCAATCTCCTGGAAACCTCAGTTCTTCATCTCTGAGAAGAAAACTGTTTTTAGATGGGAATGGGAGCATCTCTGACTCCTTACCTTCAACTTCTCCTGGAAGTCCTCCTAGCAGTGCTCAAGGATCCCTTGAGGTATGTTATTCCATGTAGTCATCTCCTGTACTGTGTAGGAACCCTGTGTAGACAGTAAGTTCCATAGAAAATGCACCAACAAGCGGCTGACTGATGTATTAATATGCTCTGGTGTAGATCACACTCAGGCATAGTTGGTTTGAGTGTTTTACTTCATGAGAATTTACTCCATTCATAGCAATGATTTCAGTCAGAGATAAACAGGGCAACGAAATTTATCATAAGGAATCACAGCATGGGTTACTTACTGAATTGTTAAAAAATTAGGAGTGTAACAACATGATTAATATTAATGCAGTAAATTAAAGAAAATTTCACAGATAGCTGCCTGATATGTTGTGATTTAGTTAAGCTCAGTTCACTTATGTTTTGACTAACATTCTGTTTCAGAAGTTTTATACCAGTCTTGTCAGTTGTGTTTGTTCCAAGACGCATTTTATTGGTTCTTGTGAACAATTCCTAGTTTATAAATGTGTTGTAGTAAAGTGGAGACAAACAGCATGTAGTATAACAGAATTGAGGAAGAGAGTCATTTAAATATATTTACTGATTAATTTTGTTTTGTTTTTAATCACAGGGACAGTTTTCTTCTAGCCCTATTCAGAATAGTGAAAAAAAATACAGTTTGGGGAGCATAACTAGTCCTTCACCCATTTCCTCACCCACTTTCTCACCTATTGCACTTCAACTAGGAAAAACACCGCTGTCAGGTATGTCCTAGTAAAATACCTAGTGAAATTTTAATATCAACAGCATTTGTTACTAGAAGCTCTTTTAGCTGAGTTATGAATGAACACTTTAGTCTTAACATATAGAAACTTCTATTATATAAAAGGAACAGTAAAAGCCAGGTGTGATAGCTCCTGCTTATACTTCCAGTAGCTGAGAGGTAGGGGCAGAAGGATCATTGATTCAAGGCTGGCCTGGAGATACATGGTATGTTTGTAGCCAGCCTGAGCTACATAGTGAGACCTTGTCTTGAAGATAACAAACGAACAAAAACAACAAAACCCAACAAAGGCTGGGCATATAGTTCAGTGGTACAGTACTTGCCTATGATGTGTTTGATACTACCACTGCAAAAGGAAGGAAGGAAAGGAGGGAGGGAGGGAAGAAAAGAAGAAGGAAGAAAAGAGAGGGAGGGAGGGAGGGATGGAGACAGTTACCTTGAAATACTGGGAGTCTCAACAAAGTTCAATTCTAACATACTTACTTTGAGTAGCAATACTACTTTACTATGGAAATGGAAGTTTTAGAGATGTTTGTTTTTATATGCCTTCTGACTTAGAGGATTAGATTTTGATAATCACATATTTATATTTTGTAAATTAGTATATTTGATTAAGTTTTTGTTTTGTTTTATATTTGTTTGTGGGGGGGATAGTTGACAGGGTCTCACTATATAGCCCTGGCTGGTCGCTGCCTCCTGAGTGCTGGGATAAAAGGCATGTGCCACCATACCCAGTCTTTGTAAAGGTTTTTAAGAGAAAGCTGCTCAGAGGTGTACATACTCTCTTTGAAAAAAATCATAGCAATTTTTGGAAAGTTAACATTTTTAGAAAACCTATTCATAGAAAAAAATTAGAAAATTAAAAACTATTATCTTCATATATTTGGGTATAAATATGGATATACATCTAAGTGGCTATATACATTTGTACATACTTATGCATGATTCTTTATCTTCATGGGCATTTTCACAGATCATTCAAAGCATTTATTATCACTTCAAAAGTGTGCTTTTGGACCATTTCATGTTTGTGTCATCCTGTTTGTTTTATTTTTAATTTTTTTCATGGTCCTAGGGATCAAACCCAGGACTACATATCCACCACTGTACCACCAAGCTATACTCTGAACCATGTATATCATTTGGTAATTACTGATAAGCATTTCAATTACCTCTAATTTATCAAATCACAAAGCTAATGGTTATCTTTTTCTGTATAGCATATACATACTTTTTATCCTTAGGTTAAATTCCCAGAAATAAAATTATTTGGTCAAACGGGTAGACATTTTAAGGGGTCTTTTTTTTTTTATTTTCTGAAGTACTGGGGATTGAATTTAGGGTCTCACACATGCTACACAAGTACACTACCACTGAGTTACATCCCCTGTCCCACCGTATTTGGAAGGCTTTTAGATGAATCTTGCCAATTTTCTTCTTAAAAACTGTAACAACTGAATTTTTCAGTATAAAAAGTATTAAGCTGAAGTATTTTTTATCATTTTAATTATTCTCAGGCCTTTTGACATTTTAAATGCTATTTTCCAGTTTTTTATTTGCCTTTTAGTGTTACTACAAGCATTTTGCATTAAAAAAAAGTATATTTTTACTCAGTTATAGAGTATAGCTGTTAAATTGTACCTTCCAAAAGCTGATTTGGCCACATGTGGTGACCCACACTTTTAATCCCAGCATTCAGGAGGCAGAGGCAGGCAGATCTCTGTGAGTTCAAGGCCCAGCTTGGTTTATGTAGTAAGACTCTGTCTTTAAAAAAAAATTTCCTAAAAGAGGTGGGTAGGGGCTGGAGAGATGGCTCAGCAATTAAGAACACTGGCTGTTCTTGCAGAAGACCCGGGTTCAAATCCTAGCACCCACATGGCAGCTAACAACTGTCCGTAACTCCAGTTCCAGGGCACCTGACAACTTCTTCTGTCCCTTGTGGGCATTGCACGACATGGGTGCACTTATCTACATGCAGGCAATACACACATACCCATCAAGTAAAAATAATAAATAAAATATTTAAAATTAAAAATAAATGAATAAGTAAATAAATAAAAGAGGTGGGTAGCCAATTTGTTAGGGATTTTCTTTGTATACGAATAACTTTGGTATAACAGCAGTATAGTTATGAAGAAACAGTTCACAAGGAATAAAACAGTTTAGTTAAAATATGGACAGAGCTAGAGCCTAGCCTGTTTGTTGAGGCACATTTACTTTTACTGTTGTTTGTAACACCAAAATCTTAATTTAGAAAACACAGCTGTTAAAGAAATCCAGCTTTTCTGGCCTGAAACATGATTATCATTTAATAACAACTTTCCCATTTTGTGTTTCCATGTGATTTTTTTTTTCCCCCTCGATCTTTAGAACAGAAGAAATTTGAATTTCATTCCCCTGACGCGTCGTCTGGAACAAGGGCCACTGGGATCAGCAATGCAAGCATTAGGAGCCCGTACATAGATGGCTGCTCACCAATTAAAAACTGGTCTCCTCTGAGACTAGGAGCTGCTCCTCGGTATCGGACCTCACTGATTCGGGTACCTTTTACTCTTGAGACTCACAGTGAAGATGAAGAGGACAATGTTCCTTCCACAGATATGTGTCCACTGGCTGCGGGGATGCCCCTTCAGCCGTTGAACGGTGACACTTCAGCATGTGGTGAGCCTTTAGTTGTCACTGCCATGTCGATTACGCAAAGTCAGTCCAGCACTTCTGAGAAAGAACTAGCACTATTGGAGGACATTGGAAGTGAGAAAGAGAACAACACAGTGGATATGGTTGATTCTATAGAGACAGCAAATGAGAGCACTTGGATTAAGGAGCCAGTAGATAATGGGAATTTACCTGTAACTGAATTTGTGAATGGAATTCCTTTCAGTATTGAAAACTCTCATATGTGCATGTCGCCACTTGCAGAAAGCAGTGTTCTCCCCTGTGAAAGCAGCAACATCCAGGTAAGGTTTTTTTTTTTTAAATTATTTTATAGTCCTTTCCTCTGGGTGCTGATGTAAGAAAGAAAATGGGCTAAGTGTGAGGATGACAACATTTTATATTTTAAAAATTACCAACAGTGGTACCAGGAAGGTTAGTTAATAATTCCTATTTAATATTCACATTAACTGCTATCAACTTGGGAGAAGTAGAAGATGAAAGCAGAAAAGAAATGCAGCCGCTGTTTTTGCAGCCTGTGGTCAGACAGCCTCTTAGAAGTTACCTGTCTCATTGTCAATCTAGTGCCAAAAGAATGCAGTTTCTGGTATAGTGCTTGTATTCTAAAAATGAATAGTTTTTATTTCTCTTTTATGTGATTTAAGGGAGAAAAACAGAATTAAGAGCACTTTTATGTGTAACCTTTTACAAACCTTAAAAAAAAGTGATGTAACATACATTTTTCATGTATATGTTTCTAATTTTCCAAATTCTCCAAAATTTATAAAACTAGTAAATGTTAAGAGCCAGGCGTGGTAGTGCACATCTGTATTCCCAGCACTTGGGAGGCAGAGGTAGGTGGATCTCTGAGTTCAAGGCCAGTCTGGTCTACAAAGTGAGTTCCAGGCCAGCCCCTGTTACAGGAAAACCCTGTCTCAAAAACACCAAAAAACAAAACAAACAAAACAAAACAAAAAAACTAGTAAATGTAGAACCAATATTTAATCCTAGTAGTCTTGTGTTTAGAGTTCACATTCTTTTATGCTAACCTGTGACAGATAATTCTTATGCAGTGGTTAGCTGTGTAGGTGCTTTTCTCACCACCATGTATGTATCATATATGATATATATCTATTTATTTCCATGTCATTCTCACAGCCCCATAATGCTTTCAGGTTTTTGACCATACTGAATTTGACCATACTGAAGTTGAAAACACAAAAGTATAACACAAAACATTCTAAATGATTAGAAATTTAATACAATCTTTTGCTCATATACTTTAAATTAATTTTTTAGATTTGCATACAAGGTAATGGATTTCAGTAAATTCTTTTATATATTCTAGCTTCTTAATTTGATATCCTAAGCACATCTAGTAAAACTTCAAATTAAAGACATTAACATTTTTCTCTTCCCTTTTCACTTTCTTTGTTGGCAAAGCATTTATAGAGGAATTTAAAAATGTTTTTGTTGAAATCTACATTAATATCCTCTAGTCCAAAAGCCTGTTGAAGCTCTTGTCCCATAATTGTAATCATTCTGTTGTCATCAGTTTATGCTGCACTGTCTACCTGGGTGCTGCACTTCCCTTCCATGCTTGTCTCACCATTACAAATCTGTTCCTTATACATCGTGGATCTCAGTTTTATCCTCTGGGCTATATCATAATTCTTTCTTTTTGCAAATTTTTATCCTTTAGTAATGTTTGTGCATATTATTTTTCTACCATAGAGGTAGCTTTCAAGCATTCAGACACAAACATGTTTTCTCATAGCCTTTGACTTAGTTCATTGTGGATGGCTTGGCTCCCATGCCTGGTATACAGCTGTCCTCATCCTAGGAAATCCCTGAACCCCTCCTGGTTTCTGCAGTCCTCCTTTCCTGGTTTACTTCACATTTCACTGGAACACATTTTCTGGAGACTTTCTAGACTTTCTAAGAGTGTATTCTTTTTTTTTTAGAACTTCATACATGAGTATTCTATTTGCATTATTTCCATCCCCGCCCATGCTCCCTCCAACTCCTCCCATGTACTATTGTTGTTATACAGACATAACACTTATAGATACACATACGTATGTATGCACATATATAAGGCATTGAGTCATTTAGTGGTACTCATTGTGTACCTGTGTTTAGAACTGCCTACTTGGCATTAGATAACTTCTCAGGGAGCTAGTCCTTGGAGAAAACTGATTCTCCCTCACTCAGCATCTATTCATTGCTTGTTCTTCATCTTGAAGTGGGACCCCATGACATTCCCCTGATCCACCTTGGCATGTCAACTGGTTTTTTCATTGTGCAGATCTTGTTAGACCCCTATACTGTGGAGATTTCATTCGTATAGCTTCCCTTTCATGTCTGGCTCCTGCTGTCTTCCTACCCCCTCTTCTGCGATGTTCCCTGAGCCTTAGGTGTAGAGGTTAGGTCATATTGTGTTGGAGAGATGGTGCAACTGTTAAAGGCTCAGAGGCTCAGGATCACAACTAAAAAGTGTGTTCTTTAAAAAGAAATTGGGATGCAGACTCAATGGAGATGGAGGCCATCCTGGTCTACAGAGCAAGTTCCAAACCAGCTGGTGCTACAGGGAGACCCTATCTCAAAAAAGAAAGAAAGAGTGCCTGTCTAATGATGTGATCTGTTTTCTCATATTTGAGCTTAGAGATAATTATCTTTTTAGGACTTGAAGGCATTGTTGGTAAGAGATCTGAAACTTGTAATGCTCAATCTTCTGCAAATGATCTCTCTACCTCCTTTGGCTTGGTAGATAGGATGCTTTCTGGTACACATAGTTCTGAAATTTCACTGATGTTGTGTGAGCTTCTTGTCATCCACTGTCCTGGATACTCAGAATGCCTTTGTGGTCTGCAAATTTATTTGTCTTTATCTCTTATATCCTAAAAAATAATTTAGATTTCCTCTATTATTTTCATTTCTTTTTTAACTTACTGAAAAAGTTTATTCTTCAGTTAGCAACCTTAGAAAGCATAGCGATTCAGTAATATCTCGTGGGGGGGGGGATTAAGTCTAATTTTACTTTTTAATTCTGAATGGTTTCATAAAATGACAGTACAATTTAATTAGTCTTTAATTACATTTAAAAATTCAGCTGAGGAGCTGGGGAGATGGCTCAGCAGTTAAGAGCACTGATTGCTATTGCAGAGGACCTGGGTTCAATTCCCAGCACCCACATGGCAGCTACAAACCGTCCTTAACTTCAGTTCCAGGGGAATCCAACACCTTTTCTGACCTCCGAGGCATTGCATGACACAGGCGCACTCACATTCATGCATGCAATACACTCATACACGTAAAATGAAAATAATAAATTCAGCTGAAAAAAATTCAGCTGAATAATGTAGACTTAATCACATTAGTCATTTTAATTCATATTCAGTCCCTCAATTTTAGCTGAGAAATATTTCAGAACAGCTTTCTGAAGCACATATGAAAGACAGATAAATTTGATTTCATTTTTATGTTTATCTTAATGCATATATATTAAAAATTATTTTAAGCTCAGAATATAACAGAATATTATTTTAGTTCTTTGCATCATTATGTGCCATTATAACACAAATTATACAAAGATCTTGATAATGGTACAGTTCATGATTTTCTTAAAACCAGATACAATAGGATTTATGGAACACACATATAATAATGTCTGTACTATATGTGTTAATTTTATGTAGACATCCTCAGCCTATGAGCAAAATAGTCACTTGAAATTATAATTTAATTTAGTAATTTTGGTATTTCATTGGTAAAATTATTGTACCATAGAATTAATGATACCCTAGTTTGTTATTATTAGGTGTAAGTTATTATTAGGTAAAATGTTTTAAAAATTATTTTTTAAATTTTTAATTGAATTTTTGCGTATTTCATACATCTTGATCATATTTAGCCACCCTCCCCTATCTTCAACCCCCTCTGTTGCCCCTCCCCCCTCCTGCTGGATTTCATGCATTCTGTCATTCTATCGGAATTTCGGCCTATCAAGTTTGTGTTCCCAGATGTCCCTCAGTGTGACTTCATCCACTGGAGCCTAGATGTGTCATTCCTTAAAGAAGACCAACTCTCCCTCACCCAGTAGTGATCAGTTGCCAATAGTTCCTCAGCTAAGATTGGGGATTCTTAACCATTTCCCCACTTCTCTACTGGGTTTTTGTCTGGCTTGAGTTTGCATGGGTCTTGTACATGCTGTCACTATTGCTGCAAGTTCCCAGCCATCTGGAAAACTCTTACCTTATGGTCATCTGCCACCTCTGGCTCTAACAGTCCTTCCACCCCCTCTTTGGCAGGGGTCCCTGAGCCCCAGATGGCAGAGGTTTAATATAGGAATCTTTTCCAGGGGCTTGCACACTGCAGTCTCTTACTCTCAACATTTTGGCCAGTTGTCGCTTCCTGGGTTAATCACCGTTTGTTACCTGAGGAAGTGTCACTGGTGAGAGTTGAGAGATGGATTAATATTCTCTCTGCTCCCTGTTCTGCTCTGTTTCCTGAGCTTTAGGTATAGAGGTTGCATTGTAGATGCGTCACTTAGGGCTGAGCATCTCACAGACACTTATTCTCTGTGTTTGACCCATTATGGAACTCTGTACTAGTCTCTATTAGGCTAGTTTTTGGGTCTCAGGCAGGAGGAACAGGATAGGGCATAGGTCCAAAACAGTGTGAAGAGGATCTAACAAGGTAAGCAGAGGAGAAATGATGTTTTTTATTTTAACTCATTTAAAGAGTTAAAGCAAGCCAGAACCACGTCACTATTGACCACAGCATAATCTCTGTGTCTGGGCCCCTGTCACATTGACTAGAAACTGGCTTTATTTTATTCAAGTGCCTAGTTCCAGGACCTTCAAGGCTTCCTCATATTTGCACATCCCTCTCTCCTGCAGCTGGCAGTGCCACTAAGCCTTGAACTGAAACATCGACTTGATCTGGGCCTTGCACCAGTAGGAGCCATAAACCATGACCTGGGTGAGGTCTGCAGATTGCAGGGCCTTCAGCTGGCGCATGGCCTTGTCCACTTGCTTGATATAAGGGATTGAGATCCATGTGCCCAATGAGTCCTCCACAAACTGTATTTGGGACACGTCTAGATCTCTCAGGTCTTCAGAAATTTTCACCCATGGTGGGGTGTCTTTATGTTTTGGAAACATTCTCATCTTGAGTCTCTCAGAACCAACCACTTTCCATCTACTATTAGGTTTAGCCATTCATTTCCACTTTTTCTGCAACTTTTTTTTTAACTGCATTATTGTGTTACTTCCTTTGTTCTAATTTTTTGCATCTTTAATTTCTTATTTATTTTAGAATCTATAATATGACTAGCAAGCATTTCCTTTACTCCTCTTAATTTTGTTTCCTCATATTTTCTTTGCTTCAGTTCCACTAACTTCGCAAAGGTTTTTTTTGTTGTTGTTAATTTTATGTATATGAGTATTATGTCTGCAAGAAGTGTACCCATATCATGCAGTGCCCACAGAGGTCAAAAGAGGGCATTGGATCCCCTGGAACAAGAGTTAAGGACAGTTGTTAGCTGTCGTGTTGGTGCTGGGATTCGAACCCAGGTTTTCTGCAAGAGCAGTCAAGTGTTCCTAACCACTGTGCCATCTCTTCAGCCCCCTCCTCTCAAAGTTTTAATCAACCATGTCACCTTTTTTGTGAGTCTTTGCACATGATAATTTTCTTCTGCCTTATTTAACTAAGTTAATGCCTTCTTGTTTTTTCAGTTTATAACTTACTGGTCACATCCTCAAAGGAGCTTTACCTGATTATAGTGTCCAGGCCAGAGCTCATTTTGCATTCTTCCCAATTAGATAATCCAGCAATTTTCTTTTTCTTTTCTTTCTTTTTTTTTTTGCAGTACTGGGGATTGAATCCAGCCTGTTATATGGTAGGCAAGTGCTTTACCACTGAACTACTCCTCTAGCTCAAATGCATTGGTTTTTACATTTTATATATAATCATACCATGTCCTAATCATATATTTTTATCTTCAGTGCCTACATGAAAAAAATATGCACATAGTAGCTCCTCATTAAATATTTATGTGATGAAAGCAAAATGAATATATAAACAAGTTCAAGCAAAGGGACTATTCAAAGCGAGAAAAACAGTGGGCTAAGATTTGGATTCCTGAGGAAAAGTTAAGGGGTTGGGTGAAGGAAATCAAGACCTTGAAGGAGACATAATTACTAGCCAGAAGGATACTAGGAAAGCCTTAGGCATGGAGCATTTTTATTCATTTTTGAGACAGAGTCTCCATGTAGCCCAAACTGGACTGCAACTTATTGTATATACAGGTTGGCCTCTATCTCACAGAGATAGACCTGCCTCTGTTTCTCAAATTCTGGGATTAAATGGTGCACCACCACACCCTTTGTAATATTTTATGCAGTCTGTGCTCTTAGCCACTGAGTCATCTCTCCAGCCCCAGCATGGAGCATCTTAAACAGGAAAGAGCAGTACTGTCAAGAGTATTGCTTTTCTTTAAGAAGTTCTGGGAGATGGATTCCAGGACTATGCCCATTCCAGACACTCTGTTATAGGCCTCTAGCTATCATTTCTTTACCTTTGCAATTAAGCTGCTTCATTGTGCTATTTACATACATGGTTCTTTAATTCATTTTTTACCTTCTCACCTTGAACCTGTACAATTACAAATTGCTTCTATCATTACCCAATAGGCCAGATTTCAAAAAATGCCATCATAAATTTTAGCTCTTGGCACTCATAGAAAACTCATGCTTTCTTAAAGACAGTGGCATCTATGTGTAGAAAAATGAAGTTATGGGGTGTAGAGATGGCTCAAAGGTTAAGAACACTGGTTGGTCTTGCAGAGGACCCAGGTTCAGTTGCCCCACCCATGTGGTGACTAACAACCATCAGTATCTGCAGTTCCAGTGGATCCGATGCCCTCTGCTGACACTGCATGCATGGGCATGCATGTGTGCACTTACATAAGAGCAGGCAAAGCATTCATACACATAAGACAAAAATAATTTGTAACAATGTAGGATAAGTAACTACAGACACATTTAAAAGCAGTTATAAGAATGTGCACTTGCCAGGCGTGGTAGCCCACACCTTTATTCCCAGCACTTGGGAGGCAGAGGTAGGCAGATCTGAGTTTGAGGCCAGCCTGGTCTACATAGTGGGTCCCAGGGAGACCCTGTCTGAAAAAGACCAAAAAAAAAAAGTGCACTCTAGCTTCAATTTGTGTTTTATTTCTAGACTTTGGAATTGTAAGGCAGGATCTACTTGACAGTGATGAATAGCGCATTACAGTTTTGAGTTGTTTTTTTTTTTTTTAAGCATTTCATCTTTCACTACAAAATGATTCTGATACCCTCAGTGCCTATGGATTTGTGTTTCTGCCTGGTGCATAGAAGGCACTGACATTGGTAGTGGTCTAGAGTGAGACAGTGGGGCCAGCCACCATCTGAATGGACTCCTATTGCTTTTCCTTTTTCTGTAGAGTAGGACAGGCTCCCTGTGCCTTACTCTCCTGTACTATTGGACAAGTGTTGCCTTGATACAGTCAGTTATGCATTAATATTGAGTTAGGAGCCAGTTACTTGGTGGTGATGAATATCAGAAGGAAGAGTAGTTGGCAGATTCTCTGTAGGCAATGTGATATTTACATTTTTGATCAATTTTCCTTTGGTGGGTAGCAGAACTAGGGGTTTCCCTTGAGATGTGGTGTTAGATTTTATATTTCACAAAGCTTTGCTTTAATGAAACATGACTCTCGGTAGCAAGCCAATAGGTATACAAACATGAAAACTAGGAATTTCTTTTTAGGATTACAAATAACCGAATGTACTTTATAGGCTATTCTAAATGTTCATGAAGGGAACAAAAGTACAGACTTCTGCCCCTAATTTACATGGAAGGGTTAAGTGCTAGGTCATTCCTTTGCGTGTGGGGAAGTGGTTTTGTTTGGTGCTCAGATTTATGTAAGTAAATGGTCTCTTGTAAAGTGAAAAGAACATGAACTTTGGAGCCTCCAATCTTCATCCCCTCATTACTGCATGGCACTGTGACTTAACCTTTCTGAGCCTTAGCTTTCTCATCTGTGTCTGCATCTTAGCTCTCTCATCTATAAAGTAACAGAGATGTTGAAGGATAAAGTAAAAACAGCATTACAATGCAGTCTAGGACCTGTTCGTTTAGTGCTTTTACAGTACAGTAGACCCTCTATTGCAGTTTTACTTTTCGTGGTTTCAGTCACCTGGAGTCCAAAATTGTTAAATGAAAAATTTAAGAAATAAATGATTTGTTTTAAAATGCATGCTATTTAGAATAGCATAAGATCTTGAAGTGTCCCTCACCAGCCTGCTCAGTTATCAGATTGACTGCCAAGCTAACCAGTGCTTGTAGTCAAAGAGCACTGTGGTTTTTGTTTTGTTTTGTTTTTAAACTTAGTAATGACTCCAAAGCACAAAATTAGTGATTCTGGCAATTTGGATATTTCAAAGAAGAGCCATAAAGTTCTTCCTTCAAGTGAAAATGGAGAAGTACAGTAAGGCATTTTCAGAGATCACATTCACAAAACTTAAAATTTTTTTTTTCTATTTTATGTGTATGAGTGTATTGCCTGAATGTAGGTAAGTGCACCCACATCGTGCAGTGTCCGCAGAGGTCAGAAGAGGGCATCAGATTCACTGGAACTGGCGTTATGGACAGTTAGCTGCAATATGGGTGCTGAGAGTCAAAACCATGTCTTCCACAAGAACCACCAGTGCTCTTAACTGCTGAGCCATCTCTCCAGCCCCCTCACATAATTTTTATAAACATAAATTTAAGTTGAGCATGGTGACCCATTATTGTATCCCCAGCACTCTGAAGGCTGATGCAAAATTCTGAGTTTGAGGTCAAACTGTACTAGAGACAGTCAAAAAAAAAAAACCCCACCAAAACAAATACATTATAGTTGTCCTTATTGTTGAACCCTTACTGTGTCTAATTATAAACTAAGTCTTATCACAGGTAAATCTATGTAGGAAAAACATAAGGTTTAGTATTCTCTGTAGATTCAGGCATCTCTTGGAGGGTCTTGGGAAGGTATCTGCCATGAGAGGAATATTTACCAAATTAAAATTTGTGTACATCTCTTGTTAGAGGCAAAACAGTGTTTTAAAATGCAACAATTTTTATTTCCTCTGTAGCCTTATTATGAAAAATTGGGTATGAGCATTATGTAGCCTACTTTTTAAACAATATAGGTTATCTTTGAATACTCCTAAAGGTGGCATGTCTTTTAGAGAAGTTTTATTTAGCTTTACAAGCAGGGCAGGCCACTTAGATAAGGTTGGAAGATGAGTTGGTAGGTGAAACTGATTGTAATCTTTACTTTCATTTATTGCATATGATCTCAGAATATTCACTAGGATCATTATTACACTGTATTGTTCAAGCATACTGAATTATACTATATACTCACTTAGCCTTTACATTTCTTACAATATTTTATGTAAATTAGAATTTGAATCTGCAGTTTTATCCTTAGATGTTTTTTCTCTCCTCATTCCTGTCAGATGGACAGTGGCTACAATACACAGACATGTGGAAGCAATATCACTGATACTGTTGGAACTGAAAGCTATTGCAAAGAAAGTGATGCACAGTCCTTTGAAGTCGAAGTGAAACCTCAACTTTGTAATGCAAAGGTATGGAGAAAACTTGATGTGAGTGTACTGTCATATTAACTGTGACTCTTTTCAACCCATCTCTCCATTCTGTATAAAGTTGTCCTTATCTATGTCCTCTCTTGTCCTGTTATTTAAGTAGATTTTTTTAAATCCAAACACTCCAATTTTCTCACTGTCCCCCATGGGAGAGTGTGGGAGAAGTATTGGAGGAGGAGATCTAGCTGTACTACAGACAGCAAGTGAAGCCACATTCTTAAAGGGAAACAAACAAGAAAGGCAGAAACGTGCTTCTAAAGTTGACTTTGCTCTCTTTTAAATATTTTAGACATCTCAAAACTTAACTTTAAAAAGTTAAGCTAGGAAAATAGTACAAATGATTATACATCAAAATTAAGGCTGTGTGTGGTTTCATTTTATCATTTGTATACGTTTAGCGTGCACTCTGATATTCACCCATCCCCATTCAGTAAGGACTGGTTTCTTAAAATTCAAATTTTCATTGTTCTGAATAAGAAAACATGTAGCTATTTTAGCTATCACCAAGATTTGTACTAAGATAATATACTTATGATGTAGACATTTATTTAACCTTGATATAACTGTGTTTTCTTTTTGAAACCTTAGGCACTAGACAGGACAGTCTTTTATTATATACATGTATTTATATATTACATACAATATAGTTATATACATACATATTTATATATGTATTGTATATATTATGTATTTTATTTATACCAATTTATTGTTATACAGTATAAACAAATGTGCAACAAAGTATCTTTCTCCAAATAAAGTGTAAGAAATCTTATTCTCCTTTTTGATTTTGCCTGTATCAAAACAAAGCTAAGATTAATACTGTCAACAAAGATTTTGATAATCCAGTCCATTTCAGTTATCCCTCAAAGCCTAAGATAAGGATTCTTTTGAAACACACTGTTAAAGACAGTATCTTTTGGGCTAAGGTTACAGCTCAGTAGAGCACTTGCCTAGCATGTCCAAGGTCCTGGGTTCAATCTTCCAGCACTAGTCAAAAAACAAAAACCTCTTTACTATGCCTTTTTGCTCTGGAAATCTGTACTCTTGACTGGAAATCTTGCACTTTTGACTGGCCCTAAATTGAAAACAAGGTATTTTCTTCTTTTTAACAGCGAGAGCACAGTGCAGAGGTGTTGTATGAAAACTGCAAGCCCATCTCAGTGCGGCACTCCATAGAGTCTCTTCAAGACCAAAGAATGGCTCAATAGCCCCTTGTGGGTTTTATGTACATGATCAATGTGATGGTGACTGGGGGAAAAAGTGCTTCAAATGATATGCTTAGCTGCCTTCATGTGAAAAATCAAAGCCAGTGAAATAGATTAGTGACAGAAACAAGAAAGCTCCAAGTTTAAATACAAACTTATTTATTTTTTAATCAATAAATATTTTTATATTTACCTTGAGTGAAGTGTTTGACAAAAATATATATATATATATATATGACAGAGCTGATGGCTTTCTCCTGTCCTACAGGGTCAATGATCTATTTTGTTAAACTTTTTCATGATAGTATGGAACTTAACAGTTCTCAGAACATAAAAGAATGTGAAAACTGAAGGCACTATATAGTTTTATATGAAAACATGAACATACCATGAAAGTTTGAATATAAAAACTTGAAGTTAAATAAGTTCCCTTGAAATTTCATTTCTTTAGCTATTTCTGTGTGGAAATTGCTTAGTTACAGTGATAAGTGCTCTAATACTTAAAAGTGTAAATACTAAAAAGGTGATACTAAGTATCATCATACATCTTGACATCTGTAGGGTAAATGTGGGATACCAGATTTTATATACCATTATTCCTAGGGCAGGGCATCCCTTACAGTTCAAGTTTGGCTAAGGAGAGGAAGAGAATACAGGAGAATCAGAATGACAGTGGGATTCCTGTTGGGTTTAGAACCAGGAATAACACCTGGGCAAATATGTAAGTAAAATACTTTTTTAAAAAAACGTATTAGGCATATAAAACATGTTTGGAAATGTCTCTGGAGAATGTATTTTTGTATTTACTTAAGAACCAACTCACAGAAAACATCATGATTAGCCCTAGAAAATAAAGTTGTCATTTCCAACTTTATTGTGTACAGTACTCCATACTTTGTGTGCTTTTAACCTACACACAGAAGTCCATGTCTTCATTCGCCTTCTTCAACACACTATGAAACCACTGTGAAATGCACATTGAAAGTTGAGTGTTCTAGTTTGTTTTTTGTTGCTGTTATAAATCACTGACCAAAACCAACTTGGGAGGAAAGGGTTTATCTGGTTTATGGTTACAGTACCATCAAGAGAAGCCAAGGCAGGAGCCTAGAGGAAGAAACTGTACTTGTTTGCTTTCCCTGTCCTGGCTTGCTCAGTTACCTTTCTTATACCTGGCCACGGATGGCACCATCCACTGAGCTGAGGCCTCCTATATTAATTAGTAATCAAGAAACTGCCTCATAGTCTGATATAGGAAATTCCTCAACTGAGGTTCTCTCTCCCTACTTCTGTCAAGTTGACAACTAAAATGAGACAAGTGGTCAACTGAAATCTATCTAAAAGCAATTGTAATCCATGAGTTTAGTCCTTAGAACAGAAGCTTCTCTGGCTAGCAGCTTTTAATAAAAGACCAAAGTAGTAACCATAACTGAGATTCAAATAACCTATTTGAGCTGAGTCCTTTTTTAATGGAGACAACAGTCCCAATAGCTGGTTTTTTTTGAAACAGTGTAGCCTAACTTGGCCTTGAGCTTGCAGCTTCTGGAGTGTCAGGATTATAGGTGCGCATTGCCTTGCCGCTATTTCGTTTTATGAGCAATCCACTCATCCTTAGTCTCCGTGGGGGACTGCTTGTAGGACTTCCCACAGATAGAAAAACGGATATTCCTTAAATGATACAGTCTTTGCATGTAAGCAATGCACATATTCCTATATACTCCAGATCCTCTATCGATTACTTTTAATACCTAATACCACATATTAAATACAGCGCAAATAGTAGTTGTACCATATTATTTGTGGACTAAGGACAATGACAAAGTCTAAAGATGTTCAAGGTTTATATGCAGTTTTTTCAAGTATTTTCAATTTGCAAATGCAGAGCTTGGAAACTGAGACTGACCATGTTTTATCTGATTAGCTTCAGAACTGGCACTAGAAAAAAAAGAAGCCCCAAAAGGAGGCCTTGAGTGAAATAGATTTCTGATCATATTTACTCAATTAAGACTGCATTAACTAGGCCTTCCACAAAATCACTCCAGACAACTGGAAAGAAACAGATATGGGGCTGGGAAGATGGCTTGGTGGGCAAAGTATTTGCTATACAAGCAGGAAGACCAGGGTTTGGATCCCTAGGACCCATGTAAAAACCAACTGTGGCTAGGTTTGGTGGCCTACATCTTTAATCCCAGTTCTTGGGAGACAGAGGCAGAGGCAGACAGATCTGAGGCAGCCTGGTCTACATAGAGAGTTCAGGCCAGATGGGGCTATGGGAAACCCTGTCTGAAAAACAAGAACCAAATATAAAGCCATGAATGGCAGTATATGACCTTAACTCCAGCAATAAGGGCAAAGACAAGACAGCCCAGGGGCTAGCCAGTCTAGCTGAAAATGACAAACTCCAGAATGACCCTATTTCAGAAAATTAATGTGGCAAAGCAACTGAGGAAGACATCCATCATCAACCTCTGGCCTCAACAAGTGCCAGAACAGATAACTGCACCCACTTGCACAGGTAACAGTCTTCGCCTCCTTTACCAAGAAGTACCCCATTTTCCTCCCTCTACTTCAGGTAAATTATGGCAGTTTTTATTTCATATCGCTTATAGTACTGAGATCAAACCCAGGGCCTTGTACATGCCAAGCAATCATTTTCCCAACAGCAAAAAAATTTCTCTTGGTTGGTGTATAAAACTCAGGAGTAATTATTTTTAACACACAAAATTGTAGGAAGCTTGTTTCTTTAGAGAAATATTTTTCAGAATACAACCAAGCTTGTTAAGACAGTGTATGTTTGGCATCTTATGAACTAAAATTTCAGAACTGTGCTATAGTTACAGCTAACAGTCAAAACGCTCTGGCCTTTTATAGAAAAGGTTTGCTGATCCCTGTTCTATTGGTAGTCACTGATCCATTTGTTTAGACCAGAGTCTAAGGCTGTCTCCAACTGATAAAGTTCAATTACTGAATGCCTACATGATTGTAAATACTGTAGTTATGTCCATTAATATATGCTGACTTGCCAGTGCCTTTCTACTGTACTGCAGACTCCATGAAGGCAGAAAAGGTCCACTTGACTGGTATACAAGTACTTTAGAAACAGAGTAAGCAAAGTTAAAATGTTAAAATACTTTTGAATACACCAACATAATCATTGAGATTAGCAAGACAAATCATCAATCTGGCATATCGAATGAGATAGTTTGTTCTTTTTAATGTCTTTAATATACTCCCCCTTCTATATAATCAGGTATAACTGAAATTTAAGTCTTTTTTTTTTTAATTTTTATTTTGCGTATGAACGTTTGGCTTGCATGTATATAAGTACACCACATGCATGCAATGCCTGCAGAAGCCGTAAGAGGGCATTGGATCCTCTAGAACTGGAATTAGGGGCTGTCATTAGCCATCATGTGGGTGCTGGGAACTAAACCTGGGTCCTCTGTAATAGCAGTCAGTGCTCTTAACTGCTGAGTCATCTCTCTATCTAGTCTCCCATCATCTCTTTTTTTATATATAACCAGTTGTAGAACTTAAAGTACCACCTCTATTCTGCTGAGCTCTAATGCCTTATTTTGGGGAGATACTGGAGCTGAAGATTAAGGACTAATAAATAACAAAAAATAACTATTTTCCCAGTCAGGTCACAATACCCCGTTTCTGGTTTTCCTGTAAGTTCCAAACATTCACAGCTGTCTGAGGACCACTAGTAGAATATAGAAGGCTTTTCAATGCATATAGGAACACAATGTCGTAAGTAGGCAAATTAAAGTGGCAAAGAGGATTATATGCCCAAGGCGGTTTAAGATTTACAAAGAGTAATTCTTCACTTCTAAAAATGTTCTTTTTTCCTCAGAAAATGATAGTTTCTTTCCTACATTACTTACAAAATTAATCTGCTCTTTAATGAGCAGATGAATGCTCCATCTAAATGATTTTTATAGATCCCTGAAGTTGCTATCCTTTCACTAAGTGATGGATAGTCAACTGAATTTTTTGCATAATTTTTTCATAACCACGTAAGACAGATCCAGTCAACAATTCAATAAAAATGCAAATTTACAATTATTTAAAAATGTACTCAAAATTAACTATCACACACATAAAAGTATGCTTTTTAAAAATTCTTTTTTTTAAGGAAATCAGTCTCTTCGAAGTTTTCTGTTGAATGTAGCTACTTTTCAAGTTTCCTCTTCTTTCCCCCTGGTCCATTAAGGTCCACGTTTGAAGTATCAGTAGGCATGTTAATTCCTGGTATCTAAAGTAGTATAAACAGGTAAAAACAAAGTGATCAGAAACATCAAATAAGAGAGGACTCTCACCCTCATCTTCTCTTTTTGGTACCATCACTTTCAACTTGAAACAGATGGACCAGTAGAGGAATGTAGCTTATATCTATATGCTACAAACACAGTCTCAGTTACTGAGAAGCTTTTCACAGGGTAGAGTGTACAATCATGCAACCTCAGCAAGTGGAGACAGAGGAGGCTTGCCGCACATTCTAGGCCAGCCTGGTCTATACAGCAAGACAATAAGAAGCTTCTCATTTGGGCACTGTGATAACCATTCTTGATGTCCATTTTACCTAGTAAATTTAGACTGTGACAGCTAGCAATAATCAAAGACCAAAAAGTCTTTTTAAGAATCAGTATCTTAGGTGAAGCACCCACACTTAGTTTGCTTATTATAAAACTAAAGGACCAGGCAAGAGAACTGTAAGATCTTCATTATCGGCCCCAGGGAATCTTAAGAATTTGATGTCTGGGATCCTCAGGAAATCAATGAGAAAATGGGGTTTACTATGCAAATATTAGAAAGAAGTCTTAGGATTGTGACATTTAAACAGAAATAACTAGATCCCTCTCACAAAGTATGTGCTGTTTTTCCATCATCCTCATACAAAATTTGAGATTGGTCTCACCTGTGGTTCTATGAGGGCCATGCGGATTTTCTGATGTTGAAGATTAGATGAATCTAATGTAATCTTCACTTTAACTTTATCAAACACATGGAACACTGTACCTTCTATTCTGAGTGAAGGTGTCTTGAAAAAAAAAAAGTTTTATCACATTTATTTCTTACACTTGAACCTCTTCCAATTCTTTCTTGTATACATAGTAATTTGAAAGTTTAAATTTAAACTGATTCCAATATTAATAAACATCTAGGTGTTTAGTATTTTTTAAAAGCCCACTAGCCTAACAGTCTCAAATATGACCTATTTTATATTCAGACTTCATCTTCTCATTAAGGCAGTCCACATATCCTTTCATTCTTAAGACTGTACTCTCACCCACTAATTAGCAAGTTGCTGACTGTAGCAGAGGAATATGAGACACTATTTAGAAATACTCTTAAGAGGCATAATTCTTTAAGTTTAAGAAAACAGTATATAAGAGACTACAAGTAAAAACTTTAGAGAAGATCCCCCTCCCCTGAGCTATAAGCAATCATTCATTCATTTATCTGTTTAAATTTATATGTTATAAAAGGAAGAAAGGCATTTGCATGAAAGAAAATACAAAGGGAGATTTTTAAGTAAAACTAGTTGATTAAATGTGGATTTTCTGGAATGCACTTTGACATTTAGGGAAAATATGTAGGATGCAGAGAACAGTTTTAACAATTTATAGCTACCATTTGTAAACTGTCACAGAAAGCATGCCTCTCTCCCCTAAGAAACCCAAGACCAGAAATACTGTACCTCATCATCATAAATAAGCTGTGGCTTTGGCTTGTCTTTTTCTTCAAAAAAAACTGTACCTTCTAAGCCATACTTTGGAATTAACACCACAACTGCATTCTTCTTTACAAACAGAATGTAGGCTTCTTCGCTTACTATTCCTTTGCTTTTGAAAAATAACTGAAAGTAATAAACAAGCTTATTTAAGTGGTATTCTGAAATTCACAAAAATAACACTGAAATTAAGTACCAAGCAGAATTTCTTACTCTTAGCATTATAGGCAGAAAACAGATACCTGAGTATGAAAGGCTACAGATGCACGTTGGGCATACTGAGCCATTTTGTGCCGGAAATTGAGATTTTTACATATATCTGCAAGCTTGTGCTTGTCTGTCAAATCTGGATAAGTACAGTCGGCTCCAATAGCCACAGCCAATAGTCGATGAACAATTATGTCTGCATACCTATGTAGATAAAGGAGAAGTAAGACCTATGGCAAGTTAAATTCTTTTAATTATTATTTTTTTTACTTTCAGCTGGGTGTGGTGGTACACGCCTTGCCTTTAGTCTCAGCACTCCAGGAGGCAGAGGCAAGCAGATCTCTGTGAGTTCAAGGCCAGCCTGGTCTACATAATGAGTTCCAGGTCAGCTGGGGCTAATAGGGAGACACTGTCTCAAAAAGACCAAAAAAAAAAAGAACTATTTTCTATCTCCTTTAATTTTTTATGGCAAAAAAATTACCTTCTGATAGGAGAAGTGAAATGTGTGTATATTGGGGATGCTAAGCCATAGTGATGAAAGTCATTATCCATTCCAGAACAGAAGTAGACAGCTTGCATCATACAACGAGTGGCCAAGATTCTTAAGAGAGTATTCAGATACGGGAAAGCAGGAGATTCAGCCCGGTCCAAAGAATCAGCCAAAGATTTAGCTGTATCAGTTTTAATTTCCAAATTCTGTGAATAAAAGGGAGGGGGAGAGGTACCACATGAAATATTTCAAAATCAGTAGTACCATCTCTTTAAAATCTAAGTAGATTAAATAATTATACTGTTGGTGGTAGATCTGAGATTTTATCCTTTAGCTAGGACTAAAAATAACTTTTAAATGATTAATGCTTGATTGTACAATATGAAGCTTAAAAACCAATGAATGTAAAGTAGAGAAGTATGAAGACTAAAGAAGTGCCAAGGGGCAGAAGGACAGTGGCAGCGGCAGTGCCCTTTTGCACAGTCCAGTTTATGCTAGCTAATCTCTGTGGAGTGGGGGAGAGGGGTAAGTGAAGAAAATAAAGCAGATTTGGGTAGTTTTCAGCCTGTCTAAACTGTTCTGGGCAGATATATCCCTTCCATTCAAAATCAGAAGTAAAGGCAAGGTGGTCTCTAAAGTTTAGTGTAAACAATGTTCTGATGCATCAAATATAGCTGCTTTATTCATAGTGAGACAAACACTTAAATTCTTTCTTTAGGCATGTCTTGTTTAAGAAACCAGACAGCCAGGGGCTGGAGAAATGACTCAGTAATTAAGAGCACTGGCCCTCATGTAGGTAAGTGCACCTGTGTCATGCACTACAAAAAAGAGCACTGGCCCTCTTGCAGAGAACCTGAGCTGGTTCCCAGCAACAATATGGTGGCTCACAATCACCTCTAACACCAGTTCTAAGGGATCTGATGTTTCTGGCCTCCAGGAGCATTGCATGCCTGGGTGTACTTTCATAGGTGAAGGCAAAACACTCATACACATAAAATTTAAGAAAAAGCAAGAAGACAACCAGAGAAAATCCTCTAGCACACAGTAACTCTTGGAATTATTTATAAATCTCTATAAAGTTATGCATTTCACAGAAGCCATATATAAAAGATAGAGATATGAAAAACATTATCATTAGTAAACTATAAAAAACTTAGAACACATGGTGTTAGGACTCGGTGCTCCTTGAAGGCCATAAAAGATTTTAAGTAAGCAGTTGGTGTCAATGTAGGAAGAGATGATCATCCCCAAAAGAAACTGCTTCTGCAAAAAGAACTACTAGTATATTTTTACATCAAGAAACTTACAAAAATGTGAATATAAATTCTTTAGTATAATAGACAGATTGAAATGCAAATATAGGTAGTTTTCAAAATGGTAAGCCTTTACCTTGGATTTAGCTGCCTTAACAAGAATTTCATAATTTGATGGTGGTGGAGCTGGATGTTTTCGAAGCAGGGCATGTTCAGAAAATTCTTCATGAATTTTTTTTGCAACAGAAATATTAGCAAGTAGCATAAATTCTTCCACCATGGAATTTGTTTCTCTGCCAATAGGAAAAGCATTAAATAAGGAAAGAGATGCAGAGATTTCCATTCATCACTTTTACAAACAAACTTCTCTATCAATAAAAACGGAAGCACAATGTCTATTTTTGGATAATTTATGGCTTTTTCACTTCTCAACTACTATACTAACAATCTCTTGTTATGTGTCTCCTGGGTAAATCTTGTATGCTAGAAACTTTTGAAATTGCACTCAAGGAAAGAATGGAAGCTTTACTAAGTTTTAAAACATAAAAAACATAAGCCTGGTGTGGTGGCACAAGCCTTTAATACCACCAGTTCGGAGACAAGTACAGATGGATCTCTGTGAGATTGAGGCCAGTCTGTTCTACAAGTTCCAGGTCAGCTGGGGCTACAGGAAAACCTGCCTCAAAAAAGACCAAAACATAGAAATAGAAATCAACATTTTTACCTCCTCATATTGGATCCAAAAAGATTGTCTTCACTACAGAGCTATGAAAATAAAGGTTAGTAAGATAAGTTAAAAGCTACTTAGCGGAGCTGGAGAGATGGCTCAGTGGTTAAGGGCACTGGTTGCTCTTGCAGAGGACCTGGTTTCAGTTCCCAGCACCCACATGGAGGCTAACAAACATCCGTAACTCTGGTTCCAGGGGATCAGATACCTCTTCTGACCTCTACGGGCATTGTACAACACAGGTGTACTTACCTACATGCAGGCAATACACTCATATACATAAAAATAATAAAATATTTTAATTTTATTTATTATTTTTATTTTATGTGTATGCATGTACTGCCTGCATGTAGGTAAGTGCACCTATGTCGTGCATTTCCCGTGGAAGACAGAAAAGGGTGTCTGATCCCCTGGAACACTGGAGTTATGGAGGGTTGTTAGCTGCCATGTGGGTGCTGGGATTCGAACCCAGGTCTTCTGCAAGAATAGTCAGTGTTCTTAACTGCTGAGACATCTCTCCAGCCCCAAATAAAATATTTTTAAAAGCTATTTAGGTTACAGAATCTTAGCTAAAACCCAAAAATGTTCACCAATAAATCACTAATATGCCATATTTACAGTACAGACACACATCTGT